ATATATATATATATATATATAGCACTGGAGAGAAGATAGAAACAAGGAACTTAGAAATTAACCTTTACTTGACCCAGTACTGGTAGCTCACACCTGTAATCCTAGCTACTGAGTAGGCTGAGAACTGAAGATTGAAGTTTGAAGCCAGCCTGAGCAGACAAATCCATGAGACTCTTAACTCCAATTAACCTGCAAAAAAAGACACACACACACCAAACAGGAATAGAGATAGGGATCAAGTGGTAGATTGCCATTTTTTTTGGTCCGTTGTGAGGCTTGAACTCTGGACTTGGGCGCTGTCCCTGTGCTCTTCAGCTCAAGGCAAGCACTCTACAGCTTCAGCCACAGTGCCACTTCGGGTTTTCTAGTGGTTTATTGGAGATAGGAGTCTCACCGACTTTCCTGCCCAGGCTGGTATTGAACTGTGAGCCTCAGATCTCAGCCTCCTGTAGCTAGAATTACAGGCGTGAGCCACTAGCACCCCACTGGTAGATTGCCATTGTTGAGTGAAAAAAGCTAAGGAACAATGCTCAGACTTGGAGTGCAAGCAATAGCACTAGCACAAAAAAAAAAAAAAAAGACAGAAATCAGAAAGTAACTCCTACACACTAAAAATTGAGTCCATTGTTTTAAAACTTAATTTGGATCATGCGTCATTGCATTTTTTCCTGTCATGGCAAGTGTTAAATGGTTTACAGTTGGCTTTAACAGACTAAAATTTGCAGCCCAATTCTCCGATGTGAGGAGGCGATGCCTCTTTTCAAAGCATTGGGCCAAGTGCTTAGATACCATCTGGCAATTGAGTAAAACAGGTAGGACAAAAGCCAAAGAGGAAAATAAAGTGTCCCATGCCACTCCCTGCAAAAGGGCCCCTCTCTTTGGAACCCAGGGCTGTTTTTCCGTTTCCTGACTGGTTTTGGCATGTGTTTTCCTTTCTTCTCTGCAGGACTTCAGGGTAGTTGTACGCATTGATTCCTGGGAATCAACGTCTGTGTATCCAAATGGACATTTTGTGCGTGTTCTAGGAAGGATCGGCGATCTGGAAGGGGAGATCGCAACCATCTTGGTGGAAAACAGCATTTCCGTTGTTCCTTTCTCTGAGGCTCAGGTCAGATTTCTAGAAGTGTTGGTGTAGGGACAAACATTTGCATTTTGCTATTGTTGCTCTCTCCTATATAGAAAGACAAATTTTTATACTATGTATCAGTGAAGATATACTAAATATTATATGCCAATCAATATGTACTATCTAAAGCCAGAAAAAAGAAAAATATCCTTTTTTTCCGATATAAAATATTTTAATGAGTTGTGAAACAGTTAAATGTCACTTATAAAAATTGGTATATCAGTGCTGGGAAGGTGGCTCAGTGGTAGAATGCTTGCTTTGCAAGCATGAGGCCCTGGGTTTGATTCTTCAGCACCACATAAGCAGAAAAAGCCAGAAGTAGCGCTATAGCTCAAGTGGTAGAGCACTAGCCTTGAGCTGAAGAGCTGAGGGACAGCGCCCAGGCCCAGAGTTCAGGCCCCACGACCGACAAAAAAATAAAATAAAATAATTGGTATATCACATTAGATGATTCTTACAAATTTAAAACATAAATCACACATTGACAATAACCTTTACAGTTCAAAAATAGTCCCCATCCATGGGGACTATTACAAATTACAAATACAAGCCAGGCCCTAATGGCTCATGCCTGTAATCCTAGCTATTCAGGAGGCTGCAATCTGAGAATCACTGTTCAAAGTCAGTGAGGGCAGGGAAGTCCATGAGACTTTTTTTTCTATTTTTCTTTTTGGTCGGTCATGGGACTTGAAGTCTGGGCCTGAGCACTGTCCCTGAGCTCTTCAGCTGAAGGTCATCTCTCTACCTCTTGAGCTACAACACCACTTCCAGTTTTTTAGTGGTTTACTGGAGATCAGAGTCTCACAGACTTTTCTGCCCCAGCTGGCTTTGAACCATGATCCTCAGATCTCAGCCTCCTTAGTAGCTAGGATTATAGGCGTGAGCCACCAGCGTCCAGATGCCTGACACTTTTCTCCAATAAACCACCAGAAAACAGGAAATGGCTATGTGGCCCAAAGTGGTGGAATGCTAGCCTTGAGCAAATGAGCTCTGGTACAGTGCCCAGACCCGAGTTCAAGCCCCACAACTGACAAAATAAAGGGGGACTGGGAAGGTGGCTCAGTGGTAGAGTGCTTGCCTTGCATGCATGAGGCCCTGGGTTCAATTCCTCAGCACCACATAAACAGAAAAAAAGGGCTGAGGGACAGTGCCCAGGCCAAGAGTTCAAGCCCCACAATGGACAAAAAAAATAATAATAAATATAAATTATAAATATAGTGAAAAGAGAAAACTAGAGACATTAGACATTTAATTTTTTTTTCTTTTGTGACCATAGTGAAAGTTGAACTCAGAGTCTCATACTCTTGCTTAGCTTATTCTGCTTAAGGCTGGCACTCTACCATTTGAGCCACACCTCTACTTGCAGCTTTTTGGTGGTTAATTTGGAAGTAAGAATCTCACTGGACTTTCCTGCCCAGGGTGGCTTCAAACAATGATCCTCAGATCTCAGCTTCCTGAGTAGCTAGAATTACAGGGACAAGACACCAACCAGCACTTGGTCCTCTTCTCTTTCTTCTGAACTTGGACCAGGCTGAAGTCAACTTCAAGTATAAAATTAGTTTGGTATAGTTGCCACAGCTTTCAAATTGTGACGTTTGGGGCTGGGAAGGTGGCTCAGCTGTAGAGTGTTTGCCTTGCATGCATGAGGCCCTGGGTTCGATTCCTCAGCACCACATAAGGAGAAAGAAAAAAGCCGGAAGTGGCGCTGTGGCTCAAGTGGTAGAGCGCTAGCCTTGAGCTGAAGAGCTGAGGGACAGTGCCCAGGCCCAGAGTTCAGGCCCCACAACTGACCATAAAAAAACAAACAAAAAACATCAAATTGTGACATTTTCCAACTGTGCATAAAAATGATGTGTCTCTGTCTAACCATGAAAGGTATTTAGAGCAAGGCCCAACTGAGCTCCACACCCTAACTAGAAGAGCTCATATACAAAGGCTGCAGAAAGATGAGGGGAACAGATTCTCGGGGTCCGTATATCACCCATCCATGGATCCAAAATTCATGTTCATTATCAGACTGTTTTTGTAACCTTTACAGAAAACAAAAATCCAATGAACATAAAACATGAGCTATTTCCACCATTTTCTGATCTTTTCAAATCGTCATAAATCTTGTTTATTATTTTCGCATGGCTACATTTATCATGTGTACTTGTTTTCTGCATCTTTGGTTTAAAATTATTCCTGTGTATTGGCATAGCTTTCTTATTTTTAGTAGTTATAACGAATGGCTGAAATTAACATACCCTACTTTGCTTAAACATTTCTCAGTTGTTGGACATTTGGGTTGTTTAATTTTTCAGTACTATAAAAAGTGCTATATTGCCTTTTTTGTTCTTTTTGATCTTTCTCTTGGAATGTAAGCTTTAAAGTGAGATTAGAAAGTCAAAGGACAAGTGGTAGAGTGCTCACCTTGAGCTGAAGAGCTCTGGGGCAGTGCCCAAACCCAGAGTTCAAGCCCCACCACTGACCAAAAAGAAAGGATAGAAAGTCAAAGGACATACGTGTGTGTGTGTGTGTGTGTGTGTGTGTGTGTGTGTGTGTGTGTGTGTATACATATATATGTATATATTTGTGTGTGTGAATATATACATATATATGTATATATTTGTGTGTGTATGTGTGTGTGTGTGTGTGTGTGCGTACTGGGGCTTGAACTCAGAGCCTTGAGCTCTAATTTGGCTATTCCTGCTCAAGGCTGGCACTCTATCACTGCACCACACCTTGTCTTCCAGATATTTGCTGTTTAACTGGGGATAAGAGCCTCTCAAATTTGTCAGCTTAGGCTGACTTTGAACTGCGATCTTCAGATCTCAGCCTCTTCAGTGGCTAGGATTACAGGCATGAGCCATTGGTACCTTGCCTGTAAAATAGTTTTTATTATAGACAGATGGTTCTCCAGAAGGCATTGCACCAATCTATATTACCATCAGGAGTGTGTATGTGTGTGTTCTTATTTTCATGATAACTTTGGATAAAACAGGAGGTATAATAGGAAAATATTTTAGAAGGTTTGTTTTTGTTTTTGTTTTTTTGACAATAGGGGCTTGAACTCTGGGCCTGGGCGCTGTCCCAGAGCTCTTCAGCTCAAGGCAAGTGCTCTACCACTTGAGCCACAGTGCCACTTCTGGTTTTCTGAGTTATTTACTGGAGATAAGAGTCTTATGGCCTTTTCTGCCTAGGCTGGCTTTGAACCACGATCCTCAGATCTCAGCCTCCTGAGTAGCTAGGATTACAGGCATGAGCCACCATGTCCAGCTTTAGAAGATTTTATACTATTAAATTTTGATGTTTGACTTTAGTTTCCAGAAATTATTTGTTGGTTTGTTTGGTAGCTCTTAGTGAAAATGTTAAGACAACATAGGAACTAGCTTTCACAGGACTGGAATTTTCTCTTCCCTTTTAGCCTATTTTATTATAAATTGATGTCTAAACAGATCTAATAACAGATGCTAATGGAAAGAAATGCCCTAGACGTCCTGGGTAAATTACCTTCAATGAATAAGCTCTTATTATTTGGGACACATTGACGTTTTCAGGACTTTACTTGAATTATGAGATCAACTGCACTTAAGTAGCTGGATCTTTGAAAATGGAGTATACTTTGTACTCCCTCCCATAAGCCTCCCCATCATTCCTCCTCCAGCCCCCATGACCAAGGGGACTGGTGGAAGTTATAGCACACTTCCACAACACAATGGAAGCCTTCAAGAGAGTCTTTTCTGAGCTGGATGCTGGTGGTTCATGCCTGTAATCCCAGCTACTCAGGAGACAGATCTAAGGATCAGGGTTTGAAGCCAGGCTCAGCTAGAAAGTTCATGAGATTTTTATCTCCAATTAACCATCAAAAACAGCCAGAAGTAGAGTATGGCTCAAGTAGTGGAGTTCTAGATTTTTTTTTTTTGGAGGTGGGGAGGTGGTGGAGGTTGGTTGTGGGGCTTGAATTCTGAGCCTAGGCACTGTCCCTGAACTCTTCAGCTCAAGGCAAGTGCTCTACCACTTAAGCCACAGTACCACTTCCGGTTTTCTGGTAGTTAATTGGAGATAAGAGTCTCACAGACTTTCCTTCCCAGGCTGGCTTTGAACCTCGATCTTCAGATCTCAGCCTCCTGAGTAGCTAGGATGACAGGTGTGAGCCACCAGAGCCTGGGTGGAGTCCTAGCTTTGAGCAAAAAAGTAGTCTAAGGGCTGGGAAGGTGGCTCAGTGGTAGAGCACTTGCCTTGCATGCATGAGGCCCTGGGTTCGATTCCTCAGCACCACATAAGCAGAAGAAAAAAAAACCGGAAGTGGCGCAGTGGCTCAAGTGGTAGAGCGCTAGCCTTGAGCTAAAGAGCTGAAGGACAGTGCCCAGACCCAGAGTTCAGGCCCCACAACCAGACACACACACACACAAAAACAAAGTAGTCTAAGTTGGGTGTCGGTGGCTCACACCTGTCATCCTAGCTTCAGGAGGCTGAAATCTGAGGACTGTGGTTCAAAGCCAACCTAGGAATGAAAGTCAGTGAGACTCTTACCTCGAATTAACCACCAGAAAGCTAGAAGTGGTGCTGTGGTTCAAATGGTAGAGCACTTACCTTGAGCTGAAGAGCTCAGGGACAGCGCCCAGGCCCAGAGTTCAAGCCCCATGACTCACACACACACACACACACACACACACACACACACACAAAAAGGTTCATAGAAGCCAGGCACTGGTGGCTCATACCTGTCATCCTAGCTACTCAGGAGGCTGAGATCTTAGAATCATGGTTCAAAGCCAGCCTGAACTGGAAAGTCTGTGAGACTCTTATCTCCAATAAACCATTCAGTAAAAGTTGGCACTGTGGCTCAAGTGGTAAAGCTCTAGCCTTGAACACAAAGATGCTCAGGGACAGTGCCATGCCCTGAGTTTGAGCTCTAGGACTGGCTAGTGTCTTTTCTGCTGGGAACTATAATCCCAACTAATTGAGAAGCAGATATCAGGAGGATTGGGTTTCTAGGCTAGCCCAGACAAAAAGTTAGCAAGATCCCTTCTCACACGTAGAGACATGGCTCAACTAGTTGAGTATCTCTTTTTCAAGTAGTAGACCCTGAGTTCAAACCCCAATACCACACACATCAAAAAAATCTCTCTTATTGATTCCTGACTTTACAGTGCCTAGCTCAGTGACTGAAAACCCCTAGTAAATAATGATTGATCCAAAGAAACAAAGTAAGCACATGCAGGGAAGTAATTGGGAATGAATGAATTCAACTGGTACTGCCCAGATGGCTGACTGCTTAGCTCTGTGCAGATGTGTGAGATGCCAGTGAACTCGCCAGAAAAACCCTGGAAGGTGAGTCCTGAAGAAGAGAAAAGACGGAAAGACTTGAGGAAAACACACCTCGTGTTCAGCATTGACCCCAAAGGCTGCGAGGACGTGGATGACGCCCTCTCCGTGAGAACCTTACACAATGGCAACCTGGAGCTGGGGGTCCACATCGCAGACGTGACCCATTTTGTGGCACCCAATTCTTACATCGATGTGGAAGCTAGGACCAGGTACCACTGATGGGAATCAGTATAAGGGTGCAAGGGTGACCGTGTTTCTGTCCGTGTGAATGTCAGATGTTCAAAGATTCCTGTTTATGCTTTCCAGAATGCCACATCCTTTTCTCCTTCAGGAAAGATAGCATCTTGGTTCATTTACATTTCCTTTTTTTTTAGCCTTTTGTGTGTGTGCATGTGTGCCAGTCCTGGGGCCTGAACTAAGGGCCTTTGATCTTGTATAGTTTTTTTCTGTTCAAGGCTAGTGCTCTATCATTTTTTTTATTTTTTATTTGTGAACATACTGTACAGAGGGGTTACAATTACATGGGCAGGATAATGCATACATTTCTTACCAAGCATTGCAGCCTCCTCCTTTGGTTGTGCTCTATCATTTGAACCTCTACTTCTGGCTCTTTGGTGGTTAATTAGAGATGAGTCTCATGGATTTCTCTGTTGGAGCTGGCTTTGAACCATGATCCTGAGATCTCAGCGTCCTGAGTAACTAGGATTATAGACCTGAGCCACTAACTTTTTTTGGGGGGAGGGGTCCGGTCGTGGGGCCTGAACTCTGGGCCTGGGCGCTGTCCCTCAGCTCTTCAGCTCAAGGATAGCACTCTACCACTTGAGCCACAGCACCACTTCTGGCTTTTTTTCTTTTTGCTTATGTGGTGCTGAGGAATCGAACCCAGGGCCTCATGCATGCAAGGCAAGCGCTCTACCACTGAGCCACCTTCCCAGCCCCTTAACTTTTTTTTTTTAACCTTTTGACACACTGTTTTTTTTTTGGGGGGGGAGGGGGTTGTAGGGGGTAGGGTGGGGGTTGTGTTTTTTGTTTCTGTTTTTTTTTGCCAACCCTGGCCTTGAACTCTGGGCCTGGGTGCTGTTTCTAAGCTTTTGTGCTCGAGGCTAGTGCTCTACCATTTGAGCCACAGCCCCACTTCTAGCTTTTGGTGGTTAATTAAAGAGTCTCATGGACTTTTCTGCCCAGGCTGGCTTTGAAACCATTTTCTTCAGATCTCAGCCTCCTGAGTATCAGGGATGACATTTGTGAGTCTCTGGCACCTGGCTTTATTAATATACTGTTTCTTACAAAACTGAAATAGGTTGGAATATGCTACTTTTATATAAATACCAGTTCATCATGCTCCAGTTTTCCTTGTCCTTTATACTCTTCCATCAGTGAAAGACTCCTCAGCCCAAAGCAGTATCACTCAGGAAAGTGGGCCCAGGGGAAGGTTTTATAAAGCAGTCTGCTGTGCTTTATGAAGAGCCGCAGCCTTGGCAATCCGCACTGGGGTCCAGACCGTTTACCTCCTGCAGCCCCTGCAGTCAGAGGCTTCTGCTGCAGCCCGCTGAAGGTCAGTTACCAAACCCATGTCATTCACAGGGCCACCACATACTACCTAGCAGATCGGCGCTATGACATGCTGCCCCCGGTGCTGAGTGCTGACTTGTGTTCCCTCCTGGGAGGTGTTGATAGGTGAGTTGGGTTATGAGATATATATTTTTTATTTTCAGAGCTTACCTTGGCTTACCTTGGCTCTTCTGGGGTTGTTTCTTCCTGCTGTGTGCCTCTCATTTTCCATAAGCTCTAACCTAAGTGCCTCTTATTGCTACTTTTCCAGCTTCTCCATCCCTTACCTTGCTCATTTTTAGGCAACCTTATTTCTCCAGCCCTTCTTTCTGTCTTCCTTCCTAACCTTCTTCCTTCCTTCCTTCCTTCTCTCTCTCCTTCTCTCCCTTCCTTTCTATCTCCTTCCTTCCTCCCTTTTATTTTTTTCTTCCCTTTTTTGGGTCAGACATGGGGCTTGAACTCTGGGCCTGGGCATTATCCCTGAGCACTTCAGCTCAAGGCTAGTGCTCTACCACTTGAGCCACAGCACCACTTCCAGTTTTCTAATGGTTTATTGGAGATAAGAGTCTCACGGGCTTTCCCGCCTGGGCTGGCTTTGAACCTCAATCTTCAGATCTCAGTCTCCTGAGTAGCTAGGAGGCGTGAGCCACCAGCACCTGGCTTCCTTTCTTTTTTCTTTTCTCTTTTTGTCTTTTCTTTTTTCTTTCTAATGCCAGTACTGGGGCTTGAGCTTATGTCTTCATGTTCTCACTTTGCTTTTTCACTCAAGGCTAACACTCTACCACTTGTGCCACAGCTCCACTTCTGGCTTTTTGCTGGTTAATTGGACCTAAGAGTTTCAAGGGGGGCTGAGAATGTGGCTTAGTGGTAGAGTGCTTGCCTGGGTTCAGTTCCTTAGTATGACATAAGCAGAAAAAGCCAGAAGTGGTGCTATGGCTCAAGTGGTAGAGTGCTAGTCTTGAGCAAAAGAAGCTCAAGGATAGTGCCCAGGCCCTGAGTTCAAGTCTGGAAAAAAAAAACAAAAAAAGAGTCTCACATTTGGCCCAGGCTGAGTTCAGACTTTAATCTTCAGATCTCAGCCTCCTGAGTAGCGAGCCACCAGTTCCTGCCCTGCTTTGCTTGCTTGCTTAGGTATTTATCTATTTATTGTACAATTACAATCAGAGCCAAGATGTTGTCCTTTAGCTTTTTTCACTCAAGGCTCCACTTCTGGAGTTCTCTTCAGTGTTTGGTGGTTAATTGAAGACAAGAATCTCACAGATTTTTCTTTCTGGGCTGGCTTTGAACCAGTTCTCAGCTCTCAGCCTCCTGAGTAACAAAGATTCCAGGCTTACCTTCCTGGTTGCTGGCTTACCTTCCTCTTCCCCCTCCCTTTTTTTTTTTTGGTCGGTCGTGGGGCTTGAACTCTGGGCTTGGGCACTGTCCCTGCGCTCTTCAGCTCAAGGCGAGTGCTCTACCGCTTGAGCCATAGCGCCACTTCCGGTTTTCTAGTGGTTTGTATTGGAGATAAGAGTCTCACAGACTTTCCTACCCGGGCTAGCTTTGAATACGATCCTCAGATCTCAGCCTCCTGAGTAGCTATTACCTGCCCTTTTTTAAAGTAACAATGTATCCAAGAAATCATTCTACTTTAGTAACAGTTGCTTGTCTATGAAAACTTGGAGGGCTGCCAGTCTTTTGCTCTTAAAAACAAAATTGTCCCAAGTTACTTTGAACTTAACTCACTTCTACATTTTCAAACAATCCAATCCATCTGAAGGAGAAATAGCAGGAGTGGAATTTGTGTGCGAGGTTCTTGCATTTGTGTTCAGATGGATAGAATTAAGCTGCCCTCCACAGAGGTCACACTGATTATATTTCCACAGAACACTGGCTTCCCCCACGCCTTGCCAACAAGACAGATGACAAGCGGCATCTTGCTTATCATTTGCATTTTTCCTTCTATAATGGGAGTGGCACATTTTTAGGTTTCTATGAACTACTTCATATTCCTTGCCCACTTGTCATTTGGGCTTTTGATTAATTACACATTTAATGCAAGAGGTTTTTTTTTTTAAATTTTTGTTTGGGTCCAGTCGTGGGGCCTGAACTCTGGGCCTGGGCGCTGTCCCTCAGCTCTTCAGCTCAAGGCTAGCGCTCTACCACTTGACCCACTGCACCACTTGCAGTTTTTTTCTTTTTGCTTATGTGGTGCTGAGGAATCGAACCCAGGGCCTCAGGCATGCAAGGCAAGCGCTCTACCACTGAGCCACCTTCCCAGACCTGATAGAGCTTTTTTTACATACTAGGAAAACTAAAGTTTGAGAACATGAGTTGTAATTTCTGTGTATCTACACTGGCGATTGAACTCAGGGCCTGGGTAGTGTCCCTTAGTTATTTCACTCAAGGCTAGCACTCTACCACTTGAGCCACACTTCTACTTCTGGCTTTTGGAGTTTAATTGGAGATAAGAGTCTTGTGGACTTTCCTGCCTTGATTGGCTTTCAACTGCAATCTTCAGATCTCAGCTTTCAGAGTAGTTATGGATTTGAGGGCTGGGAATGTGGTAGAGTGCTTGCCTAGCATGCATGAAGCCCTGGGTTTCATTCCTCAGTACCACATAAACAGAAAAGGCTGGAAGTGGTGCTGTGGCTCACGTGGTAGAGTGCTAGCCTTAAACAAAAGAAACTCAAGGACAGTGCCCAGGTCCTGAGTTCAAGCCCCAGGACTGGCCCCCCACCCAAAAAAAAATTATGGGCTTGAGCCACCAGTGTCCAGCTTATAAATAGGTTATGGTAGCAGAATGGTTCTTTTTTTTCCTTTCTTTCTTTTTCTTTTTTTTTTGGTCAATTGTGGGGCTTGAACTCTGGACCTAAGCTCTTCAGCTCAAGGCAAGCGCTCTACCACCTTAGCCACCACTCCATTTCCAAGAATGGTTCTTTGCTAAGTTAACTTTTGCTCTTAACCTGTCATCAAGACTCTTGTAGCTTACTGTCATCCTGTAGGATTTTAAAGGCTGGACTTTGCCTGGACTTGACTATCCAAATGGAGAACTGTAAGGCAGGGTCAGTAATCAATGTGAACTTACTTCAGATTTGTGCAGAGCTAAGCAGAACCTGGTCTACCTTTGTTGTTAATTTTTTTTTTAGTTTTTTTTCATTGTCATGATAAAGGTGATGGAGAGAGGGGTTGTAGTTACATAAGTCAGGCAAAGAGTAGAGTAGAGTCATGTCCTCATTCTCCCAGTTTTCCCCTCCCATCCCCCCAACAAGTTGTATAGTTCATTTTTAACAGTGTCTAATGAGTACCACTACTGCATTGTTCACTACTTCATTGTCCTTCCATTTCTGTGTCCCCCTGCCCTCCCAAAGACACATAAACAAGACAAAAAGAAAACAAAAACAAAGAAAAAAGTTTTAAATATTTACTTGAAGTCGGTTGCTGGTGGCTCATTCCTGTAATCCTAGCAACTTAGGAGGCTGAGATCTGAGGATCACAGTTCAAAGCCAGCCCGGGCAGCAAAGTCTGTGACACTTTTATCTCCAATAAACCACCAGAAAACCAGAAGTGGTGCTGTGGCTCAATTGGTAGAGTGCTAGCATTGAGCTGAAGAGCTGAGGGACAGCACCCAGGCCCAGCCAGAGTTTATATATATATATATATATATATATATATATATATATTTGTTTTCCTTCTGTGGTAGAGTAGTTGGATTGAGAGATTGGAAACAAAATTTGATAGAATATCATGTCTTTCAAGGTTGTGTGTGTGTGCACCAGTATTGGAGCCTGAGTCCGGGCGCTCTCCTTTACCTGGCATTCTATCACTTGAGGCTCTCTTCCACTTCCAGCATTTTGCCACTTAATTAGAAATAAGAGTCTTGGGGCTGGGAAGGTGGCTCAGTGGTAGAGCGCTTGCCTTGCATGCCTGAGGCCCTGGGTTCAATTCCTCAGCACCACATAAGCAAAAAGAAAAAAGCCGGAAGTGGTGCTGTGGCTCAAGTGGTAGAGTGCTAGCCTTGAGCTGAAGAGCTGAGGGACAGCGCCCAGACCCAGAGTTCAGGCCCCACGACCAGCAAAAAAAAAAAAAAAACTAGAAATGAACAGTGATGCCAATGTTCCTGGTTTTGCAGGTATGCTGTAAGTGTCATGTGGGAACTGAATAAAACTTCTTATGAAATCAAGCAAGTGTGGTATGGCCGTACCATTATTCGATCCGCTTACAAACTGTTCTATGAAGCAGCCCAGGAACTTCTGGATGGCAACTTCAGCATCCTCGATGAGATTCCAGAATTCAAGGACTTGGATGAGAAGAGCAGACAAGCCAGGCTGGAGGAGTTAGTGTGGGCCATCGGCAAGCTGACCAACATAGCTCGCCACATCCGAGCCCAACGCGATGGCTGTGGCGCGCTGGAACTGGAAGGGGTAGAGGTTCGAGTAGAGCTAGACGAAAGAAAGAACATTCACGACCTCATTCCCAGGCAGCCCCTGGAGGTGCACGAGACGGTGGCCGAATGCATGATCCTCGCCAACCACTGGGTAGCCAAGAAGATCTGGGAAAGTTTTCCTCACCAGGCCCTGCTGCGCCAGCACCCTCCTCCACACCAGGAGTTCTTCGCTGAGCTCCGAGAATGCGCTAAGGCAAAAGGCTTCGACATAGATACCAGGTAGTCCTGAGGAACAGGGCAACAGCGCAAAGTGGTAGCCACTTATTTCCTGGATGGACTTTTTTGTTTGTTTGTTTTTGGTGCCAGTCCTGGGACTTGAATCCAAGGCCTGAGCCCTGTCCCTGAGCCTTTGTGCTCAAGGCTAGTGCTCTACCATTTCAGCCACAGCTCCACTTCTGGCTGTTTTCATAATTTATGAAAAGAGATGAGTCGCACAGACTTCCTGCCCAGGCTGGCTTTGAACTGTGATCTTGACATTTCAGCCTCCTGAGTAGCTAGGATTATAGGTATGAGCTCCAGTGCCTGACCTTTTTATGGTTATTTTTTTGTTTGTGGACCAATATTAGAACAGGGCTTTGTGTTCATGGATGGCTTACTGGCATTCAACCACTCCAGCCATGCCACTAGCCCAACATTTTTGCTAGTTAATTGGAGTTATTGTTTTAGACTTTTCTGTCTGGGCTGGCTTTGAACCTTGATCTTCAGATCTCAGACTCCTGGGCCTAAGCAATAATTCTTGATATTAAAAAAAAAAAGAGGCCTGGCGCCAGTGGCTCATGCCTGTAATCCTAGCTACTCAGGAGGCTGAGATCTGAGGATAGTGGTTCAAAGCCATCCAGATAGGAAAGTCTGTGAGACTCTTATCTCCAATAAACCACTTGGCGCTATGGCTCAAGTGGTAGAGTGTTCCCCTTGAGCTGAAGAGCGCAGGGACAGCAGCCAGGCAGAGAGTTCAAGACCCACGACCGACAAAAAAAAAAAAAGAAGAGCCAAGAGCCAGTGGCGCATGCCTGTAATCCTAGCTACTCAGGGTAGAAAAGTCCATGAGACTTTTTTTTTTTTTTTTAGCCAGTTCTAGGGCTTGAACTCAGGGCCTGGACACTGTCTGAGCTTCTTTGGCTTAAGGTTAGCACTCTGCCACTTAAGTCACAGCACCACTTCTGCCTTTTTCTGTTTATATGGTACAGAGGAATCAAACCAAGGGCGTTATTCATGGTAGGCTAGCACTCTAAAACTTAGGAAGTGGCGCTGTAGCTCAAGTGGTAGAGCACTAGCCTTGAGCTGAATAGCTGAGGGACAGTGCCCAGGCCCAGAGTTCAGGCCCCACGACCAACAAAAAAAAAGAAAGAAAGAAAATATTTGGGGCTGGGAAGGTGGCTCAGTGGTAGAGCGCTTGCCTTGCATGCCTGAGGCCCTGGGTTCGATTCCTCAGCACCACATAAGCAAAAAGAAAAAAACCAGAAGTGGTGCTGTAGCTCAGGTGGTAGAGTGCTCGCCTTGAGCTGAAGAGCTGAGGGACAGCGCCCAGGCCCAGAGTTCAAGCCCCATGACCAACAACAATAACAACAACAAAAAAAATTAATCCTATTTCATTGTACAGTTCCCATGTTTTTTGGTTTTTTGTGTGTTGGTACTGGGGGCTTGAAGTCAGGGCCTTATACTTTCACTTGGCTTTTTTGCTTCAAGCTGGCTTTCTAACGACTTGAGCCCCAGCTCCACTTCTGGTATTTTTGGTAGTTAACTGAAAATCAGAATCTTACACACTTCCCTTCCTTGGCTGGCTTCAAACCATAATCCTCAGCTCTCAGTCTGAGTAGCTAGGATGACAGGTGTGAACCACAGGTGCGCAGCTAGGTAGTTGATTCCAAAGTTGCTGTTTCAGCTTTTTCCCAGGATATCAGGATTGAGAATGCAGGGCTATGCTTCTTTCAGGCAGCACAGCACTCTCAGAAGCAGTCTACCGAGCTCTTCCAGTGCATGTACTTCAAGGACAAAGACCCTGACACCGAGGCGCGCTGCATAGCTGACGGGGTTATTTACTCCATTAGAACAAATGGCGTGCTTGTGTTTATTCCAAGGTAGGTCACAGTGAATGCAACAGTTACTTAGGAAAAGTAGAACACAATTCTTTAGGGCTGAGAGTGTTACTCAGTGGTAGAGCACTTACTTAGCATGTAGAATTGATTCCCTGAGCTTGATCCCCAGCACAAAGAATTGGATGTATATGTAATACAAACAACTGCAAACTTAACACTGTGTATACATCGTAATATATGGTTGAATGTAGGATTATAAAATGAAGGAAGCAATTGAACTATATAAATATATCTATGTATAGAAGCTGGTCAGCAGTAGCCCATACCTATAATCCTAGCTACTCAGGAGGCTGAAAGCTGAGGATCCTGGTTCAAAGCTAGCATGGGCAGGAAAGTCCATGAGACTTTTTTTAAATTTTTTTATTGTGAAAATACCATACAGAGGGGTTACAATTACATGGGCAAGGTCCACGAGACTTTTAAGTGCAATTAACCACACAAAAAAAGTTGGAAGTAAAGCTGTAGCTCACGTACTAGAGTACTAGCCTTGAACAAAATTTCTCAGGGACAGTGCTCAGGTTCTAAGTTCAAATCCCAGGACTGGCACAGACAAACAAACATGTAAATGATAGGATGCATTAGGATTAATTTTTGTAGGAACTTACTCATCCCGTACAGTCTGTTCCAAAATGTCTTAGCAAATAAAACCTCTATTTTTGGAGGTATTAGGATTTGAACTCAGGACTTCTGTGTACATGTTTGTATACAGATATACATACAGAGGTATGCACATCTGCATCACTATTAGGCTCCTTCCCTTCCTTTCCTGGTCTTACGGCTTGTGTCCAGGGCCTGTCTCTGTCCTTCAGCTGATTTTGCTCAGGGCTAGCACTCTACCCCTTGAGCCACAGCTCCATTTCCGGTTGGTTATTTTTTGTTTGTCTTGTTTTGCTAGTTAATTGGAGGTAAGAGTCTTAGGGCCTTTCCTGCCCCAACTGGTTTTAAACTGTGATCCTCAGATCTCAACCTCCTGAGTAGCTAGGATGATAGGCATGAGCCACTAGCACCTGGCAGGCTCTTACTTTCTTATCTAGCAGTACTTTATGTTGCAATCTACTAATGCAAAAACAAATTGTTAAAGGAAAAATCATAGAAAAGGTTTTTTATTTTTTAAGTCTAGAAGAAAAATTAGCACTCTCAGCATTCAAGTTGTACATATTCAGTATACATAACTCTGGTCTTTCATTCTGATTATTCAGATTTGGGATTAAAGGTGCTGCTTATCTGAAAAACAAAGATGGTTTAGTGATCTCCTGTGGGCTAGACAGCCGTTCTGAATGGAAACCAGGATCCCTTCAACGATGCCAAAACAAAATCACCTCTACCCCAACAGGAGGGGACCCCGTTACTTTCCATTTATTTGACCATGTCACAGTAAGTCTGTATCTCAATTAAGCATTGCTTTCCAGTGTGAAGGACAAAGAGTGTGATTCAGCAACACATTTTTCTCTCTGACAGGTACGAATATCTGTACAGGCCCTGCGTTGCCACTCAGACACCATCAGGCTTGAAATAATCAGCAACAAGCCCTATAAGATGTCAAGCACTGAACTTTGCCGCCAGAGTTCCCTCTTGCTGAAGAGTGAGCTGGTGAAAGAGGTGACGAGATCCGTGGAAGAAGCTCAGCTTGCCCAGGAAATCAAAGGCAAAGTCATTGAGGAGGAGTACCAGGAGTATTGCCAAAGCAAGGGAGGCAGTCTCTACACACTCCTGGAGAAGATAAGGGACCTAGCACTCCTGGATGTTTCAAACAATTACGGGATCTGAAACACTGACTTCATTAAAAGAGCCCGGTCTGACCTTTCTTTTTCCTTAACCATCTTGTGAAGCATGTCACTGTGTGCCACCCGTACTGTCGTTGCTCAGGATTGGGTGGGTATTTCATGTATGTGTCGTATTCCCTAACACCACACTGAGGTTGTCTTAAAAAAAACATAGGACCAGGTCACTATGGAAACTGACTTGAGCAATGAAGATGAAAGGTGCTCCACAAAGGCAGGTTTGGTAGCCTCATCCATACGCAGAATCTTTTTGTTCTTGTTGGTTATGGGGCTTGAGCGCTGTTCCTCAAGTTTTGTGGTCAAGGTTAGAATTCTACCACATAAACCACCGTTCTACTTCTGGCTTTTTGGTAATTAATTGGAGATAAGTGTCTCATAACTTCCCTGTCCTGGCTGGCTTTAAACCATGATTCTCAGATCTCAGCCTCCTGGGTAACTAGGATTACAGGCATGAGCCACCTGTGCCTGGCTTACATGTTATTTATAAAAATAGGCACCAGTGGCCTATGCCTATAAACCTAGCTTCTGAGGATTGCAGATCAAAGGCAGCCCAGCAGAGAAGTCCATGAGACTCTTTTTGTGTGTGTGTGTGTGTCCGGTCGTGGGACCTGAACTCTGGGCCTGGGCACTGTCCCTCAGCTCTTCAGCTCAAGGCAAGTACTCTACCACTTAAGCCACTTCCTGTTTTATGGTAGCTTATTAGAGATAAGAGTCACATGGGGCTGGGAAGGTGGCTCAATGGTAGAGCGCTTGTCTTGCATGCCTGAGGCCCTGGGTTCGATTCCTCAGCACCACATAAGAAAAAAGCCAGAAGTGGCGCTGTGGCTCAAGTGGTAGGGCACTAGCCTTGAGCTGAAGAGCTGAGGGACAGCACCCAGACCCAGAGTTCAGGCCCCATGACCGGACCAAAAAGAAAAAAAGAGATAAGCGTCACAGACTTTGCTGCTTAGGCTGGCTTTAAACTGCAATCCTCAGATCTCAGCCTCCTGAGTAGCTAGAATTACAGCTGTGAGCACTTTTAACTTTAACTAGTATTAATCAGCCCATTGCTTTTTGCTACTGAAGAGATTTATTTAAATTCTCACCCTTTGTTTAAACCTTAACATTCATTTCTGTAGTAGGAAAGAATTGCTTCCTAAATCAGTCCAAAATAAGTATCACCGCAGGCAGATGAACATAGTCAAAGCAATGAGTGAAGGGTCCTTAGTAAATGGGGCTTACAGAAAGTTTTTCTGTTGTCAGGTCCAATAAAACACTGGCTGATTCTCTGGATAAGGCTGATGACCCCAACGACCCAATTGTGAACAAGCTACTGCGCTCTATGGCCACGCAGGCCATGTCCAACGCGTTGTATTTCTCTACCGGCTCCTGTGCAGAAGAAGACTTCCACCATTATGGTGACCGAGACATTTCCTCTGTACCCCTGAGCCTGAGCCTGAGCAGGAGGGTTCAAAAGTATATCCAGTTCATTTTATTCTGATGTTTTGTTTTCTTTTGGAAGGTCTTGCCTTGGATAAATACACCCATTTTACTTCTCCAATAAGAAGATATTCTGATATGATTGTCCACCGACTATTGATGGCAGCCATTTCTAAAGACAGGAAAGAGGAAATTAAAGAGAATTTGCTCAGCAACAAAGATCTGGAGGAATTGTGCAGACATATCAACAACAGAAACAGAGTAAGAAGGAATTTTAAATTTTTTGGATCTACTGTCTCTGTGTTTGGATCTACTGTCTACTATCTCTGTGGCTTTTTGTGCCAGTACTGGGGCTTGAACTCGGGGCCTTGTGCTCTCATTTGGCAGTTTTCACTTACTGGTAGCAATCTACCATTTGAGCTATGTCTCTACTTCTGGCTTATTTATTAATTATCTGGAGATAAAGAGAGTCAAGGATTTTTCTGGATTGCCTTTGAACCTCAATCCTCAGATCTCAGCTTCCTGATAGCTAGTGTTCTAGCGCCTGGCTCATTACAGAGTTCTGTTGGGCAGTGTAGTTTAAGGTCTCCTGTGTGCACATTTTTATGCATGTTTCAGAATAGGGCCTGAATTCCTGAGTTACATCTGGTGTGAATCTAGTGTGAATTACCAGGTTGCCCTTTATCACAAAGTGTTCATCTGTTTCCCCTCCCAAGATTTCCATGTAACAGGCTTGAAAATCAGGATAAGTGTGATGTTTCACTTGCATGTCAAATGACCATATATCACTTTTCTTGCCTCTGGAATGTTTCATTTATAAAGAATGAATTTTCTACTTGGGAAGCTGAGATCCAAGGATTGAGGCTAGCCTGTACAAAAATAAGTTTGAGAAACTTCATTTCACAGGGCAGCACAAATAGTACTGTAGTACAGGCCAATCCTGGCATACAGTGAGACCCTATCTCAAAAATAACTAACCCAATCCTGGTGCCAGTGGCTCATACCTATATTCCTAGCTACTCAGGAGGCAAGTCCGTGAGATTCCTATCTGTGAAGTTGTAATCCCAATGGTAGAATGTTAGTCTTAAGCATAAACTCAGATACAGTGTCCAGTCCATGAGTTAGTTCAAGCCCCAGAATACAGATACAGACAGACACACACATATACACCCCAAAATCAAGAACCCTAAGGGGCTGGTGGAATGGCTCAAGAGGTAGAGCTCCTGCCTAATAAGCATGAAGACGAGTTCAAACCCTAGTACCGGTACCTCCAAAAAATGTATATATTTCATTTTCTAAGACTTTTGTGTTGTGTGTGTGTGCTAGTCCTGGAGTTTGAACTCAGGGCCTGGGCTAGGTCTCTGAGCTTCTTTTGCTCAAGCCTAGTGCTCTACCACTTGAGCCACAGCACCACTTCTGGCTTTGAGTAGTTTATTGGAGATAAGAATCTCATAGCTGGGAGATCTGGGAAGTTGGCTCAGTGGTAGAGCGCTTGCCTTGCATGCATGAGGCTCTGGGTTCAATTCTTCAGCACCACATAAGCAGAAAAAAACCAGAGGTAGAGCTGTGGCTCAAATGGTAGGGTGCTAGCCTTGAGCTGAGGAGCTGAGGAACATCGCCTGGGCCTAGAGTTCAGCCTCCATGACCGACAAAAAAAAAAGAATATCATAGCTGGACCCACAACCAATAAGAAGAAAATAAAGAATCTCATACTAGCCAGGCGCTGGTGGCTCACACCTGTAATCCTAGCTACTCAGGAGGCTGAGATCTGAGGATCGAGGTTCAAAGCCAGCCCGGGCAGGAGAGACCATGAGACTCCTATCTCCAATAAACCACCAGAAAACCGGAAGTGGCGCTGTAGCTCAAGTGGTAGAGCGCTCGCCTTGAGCTGAAGAGCTGAGGGACAGCGCCTAGGCCCAGAGTTCAAGCCCCATGACCAACAAAAAAAAAAAAAAAAAGAATCTCATACTTTCCTGCTTGGGCCCTCTTTGAACCATGATCCTCAGGTCTCACCCTCCTGAGTAGCTATGACAGTGATTGGCTGCCTCTAACATGTTGTCAGTCGTGGGGCTTGAACTCTAGGCCTGGGTGCTGACCCTCAGCTCTTCAGCTCAAGACAAGCACTGCCACTTGAGCCACAGGGCCACTTCCAGTTTTCTGGTAATTCATTGGAGATAAGAGTCTCATGGACTTTCCTGCTTGGGCTGGCTTTGAACTGCAAACCTCAGATCTCAGCCACCTGAGTAGCTAGGATTACAGGCATAAGCCCCCCCGGGCCTGGCTTCTCAGACATTTTTGAAGAGACAATACTGGATGATTAAGTTCCCACAAAAATTGATTTAAGCCAGGCGCCAGTGGATCAGGCCTGTAATCCCACTCAGGAGGCTGAGATCTGAGGATCATGGGTCAAAGCCAACCTGGGCAGGGCAGGAAAGACCATGAGACTCCTATCTCATCTCCAGTAAACCACTAGAAAACCAGAAGTGGTGCTGTAGCTCAGGTGGTAGAGTGCTCGCCTTGAGCTGAAGAGCTGAGGGACAGCGCCCAGGCCCAGAGTTCAAGCCCCATGACCAACAACAATAACAACAACAAAAAAAATTAATCCTATTTCATTGTACAGTTCCCATGTTTTTTGGTTTTTTGTGTGTTGGTACTGGGGGCTTGAAGTCAGGGCCTTATACTTTCACTTGGCTTTTTTGCTTCAAGCTGGCTTTCTAACGACTTGAGCCCCAGCTCCACTTCTGGTATTTTTGGTAGTTAACTGAAAATCAGAATCTTACACACTTCCCTTCCTTGGCTGGCTTCAAACCATAATCCTCAGCTCTCAGTCTGAGTAGCTAGGATGACAGGTGTGAACCACAGGTGCGCAGCTAGGTAGTTGATTCCAAAGTTGCTGTTTCAGCTTTTTCCCAGGATATCAGGATTGAGAATGCAGGGCTATGCTTCTTTCAGGCAGCACAGCACTCTCAGAAGCAGTCTACCGAGCTCTTCCAGTGCATGTACTTCAAGGACAAAGACCCTGACACCGAGGCGCGCTGCATAGCTGACGGGGTTATTTACTCCATTAGAACAAATGGCGTGCTTGTGTTTATTCCAAGGTAGGTCACAGTGAATGCAACAGTTACTTAGGAAAAGTAGAACACAATTCTTTAGGGCTGAGAGTGTTACTCAGTGGTAGAGCACTTACTTAGCATGTAGAATTGATTCCCTGAGCTTGATCCCCAGCACAAAGAATTGGATGTATATGTAATACAAACAACTGCAAACTTAACACTGTGTATACATCGTAATATATGGTTGAATGTAGGATTATAAAATGAAGGAAGCAATTGAACTATATAAATATATCTATGTATAGAAGCTGGTCAGCAGTAGCCCATACCTATAATCCTAGCTACTCAGGAGGCTGAAAGCTGAGGATCCTGGTTCAAAGCTAGCATGGGCAGGAAAGTCCATGAGACTTTTTTTAAATTTTTTTATTGTGAAAATACCATACAGAGGGGTTACAATTACATGGGCAAGGTCCACGAGACTTTTAAGTGCAATTAACCACACAAAAAAAGTTGGAAGTAAAGCTGTAGCTCACGTACTAGAGTACTAGCCTTGAACAAAATTTCTCAGGGACAGTGCTCAGGTTCTAAGTTCAAATCCCAGGACTGGCACAGACAAACAAACATGTAAATGATAGGATGCATTAGGATTAATTTTTGTAGGAACTTACTCATCCCGTACAGTCTGTTCCAAAATGTCTTAGCAAATAAAACCTCTATTTTTGGAGGTATTAGGATTTGAACTCAGGACTTCTGTGTACATGTTTGTATACAGATATACATACAGAGGTATGCACATCTGCATCACTATTAGGCTCCTTCCCTTCCTTTCCTGGTCTTACGGCTTGTGTCCAGGGCCTGTCTCTGTCCTTCAGCTGATTTTGCTCAGGGCTAGCACTCTACCCCTTGAGCCACAGCTCCATTTCCGGTTGGTTATTTTTTGTTTGTCTTGTTTTGCTAGTTAATTGGAGGTAAGAGTCTTAGGGCCTTTCCTGCCCCAACTGGTTTTAAACTGTGATCCTCAGATCTCAACCTCCTGAGTAGCTAGGATGATAGGCATGAGCCACTAGCACCTGGCAGGCTCTTACTTTCTTATCTAGCAGTACTTTATGTTGCAATCTACTAATGCAAAAACAAATTGTTAAAGGAAAAATCATAGAAAAGGTTTTTTATTTTTTAAGTCTAGAAGAAAAATTAGCACTCTCAGCATTCAAGTTGTACATATTCAGTATACATAACTCTGGTCTTTCATTCTGATTATTCAGATTTGGGATTAAAGGTGCTGCTTATCTGAAAAACAAAGATGGTTTAGTGATCTCCTGTGGGCTAGACAGCCGTTCTGAATGGAAACCAGGATCCCTTCAACGATGCCAAAACAAAATCACCTCTACCCCAACAGGAGGGGACCCCGTTACTTTCCATTTATTTGACCATGTCACAGTAAGTCTGTATCTCAATTAAGCATTGCTTTCCAGTGTGAAGGACAAAGAGTGTGATTCAGCAACACATTTTTCTCTCTGACAGGTACGAATATCTGTACAGGCCCTGCGTTGCCACTCAGACACCATCAGGCTTGAAATAATCAGCAACAAGCCCTATAAGATGTCAAGCACTGAACTTTGCCGCCAGAGTTCCCTCTTGCTGAAGAGTGAGCTGGTGAAAGAGGTGACGAGATCCGTGGAAGAAGCTCAGCTTGCCCAGGAAATCAAAGGCAAAGTCATTGAGGAGGAGTACCAGGAGTATTGCCAAAGCAAGGGAGGCAGTCTCTACACACTCCTGGAGAAGATAAGGGACCTAGCACTCCTGGATGTTTCAAACAATTACGGGATCTGAAACACTGACTTCATTAAAAGAGCCCGGTCTGACCTTTCTTTTTCCTTAACCATCTTGTGAAGCATGTCACTGTGTGCCACCCGTACTGTCGTTGCTCAGGATTGGGTGGGTATTTCATGTATGTGTCGTATTCCCTAACACCACACTGAGGTTGTCTTAAAAAAAACATAGGACCAGGTCACTATGGAAACTGACTTGAGCAATGAAGATGAAAGGTGCTCCACAAAGGCAGGTTTGGTAGCCTCATCCATACGCAGAATCTTTTTGTTCTTGTTGGTTATGGGGCTTGAGCGCTGTTCCTCAAGTTTTGTGGTCAAGGTTAGAATTCTACCACATAAACCACCGTTCTACTTCTGGCTTTTTGGTAATTAATTGGAGATAAGTGTCTCATAACTTCCCTGTCCTGGCTGGCTTTAAACCATGATTCTCAGATCTCAGCCTCCTGGGTAACTAGGATTACAGGCATGAGCCACCTGTGCCTGGCTTACATGTTATTTATAAAAATAGGCACCAGTGGCCTATGCCTATAAACCTAGCTTCTGAGGATTGCAGATCAAAGGCAGCCCAGCAGAGAAGTCCATGAGACTCTTTTTGTGTGTGTGTGTGTGTCCGGTCGTGGGACCTGAACTCTGGGCCTGGGTGATGTCCCTCAGCTCTTCAGCTCAAGGCTAGCACTCTACCACTTGAGCCACAGCACCACTTCAGGCTTTTTTCTTTTTGCTTATGTGGTGCTGAGGAATTGAACCCAGAGCCTCAGGCATGCAAGGCAAGCGTTCTACCACTGAGCCACCTTCCCAGCCCACCATGAGACTCTTAACTCCAATTAACCACCAGAAAACTGGAAGTGGAGCTGTGGCTCAAAGTAGTAGAGCATTAACCTTGAGTGAAAAAGCTCAGGGATAGGCCTTGAGTTCAAGCCCCATGAACAACACACACACACACACAATTGAGGATAGGCCTTGAGTTCAAGCCCCATGAACAACACACACACACACACACACACAAAATTGAGAATCATTATTTGAGTTACACACACATAAAATTGGGAATCATTATTTGAGTTATAGACTCCCGTGCCATCATTCGGGTAACTACTACCCACTTCAGAACTCCTGTTTTAGGCTGGGAATGTGGCTTAGTGGTAGAGTGCTTGCCTAACATGCATGAAGTCCTGGGGTCGATTCCTCAGTACCATATAAACAGAAAAGGCCGGAAGTGGCTCTGTGGCTCAAGTGGTAGAGTGCTAGCCTTGAGCAAAAGAAGTTCAGGGACAGTGCCTAGGCCCTGAGTTCAAGCCCCAGGACTGGCAAAAAAAAAAAGAAAAGAACTCCTGTTTTCTATTTGACTCAAGTTTCCCCAATTGTTCCAACACCAGCCACAGACACTGGGCAGAAGGAATTCAGCGGGATGCACAGGTCAGATCTTGCTCAAGCCCTTCCTGGCCTCTCATTCTGCTGCAACCCCACCCCCACCCATCCCCCTTCTGCACACACACAGAGGGTGAGGATGAGGTGCACTGGCCAAGCCTGTATGGGAATTTTTATCTTTGACAACAAGCCCGCCAGTGAAAAAATAACTCCTTTGCCAGTCCCCCAGTCCCCTCTAATCTAGCTTATGAATTATGTGACTGGAGGCTCCTGGAAAGCAGTTTCTCTAGTATTCATGGCACCTGGCATGTGGGCTCCATCTTCAAGCTGATACCCAGCTTGCAATAAGAAGCCACATCCACCAGGCGCTGGTGGCTCACGCCTGTAATCCTAGCTACTCAGGAGGCTGAGATCTCAGGATCTCAGCTCAAAGCTAGCCAGGGCGGGTAAATCCATGAGACTCTTCTCTCCAATTAACCACCAGAAAACCAGAAGTGGTGCTATGGCTCAAGTGGTAGAACACTAGCCTTGGGCTAAAGAGCTCAGGGACTGCGGTCAGGCCCAGAGTTCAAGCCCTGTGACCAGGAAAAAAAAAAAGGCACATCCTCTGGGCTCATCTCCCTCTTCCCCCTAGATCATGTCCATTACAGCTCTTAGTGAGCCCTCAACCCATGTGTTCTCCTGTGCCTAACTTCTTGGCTTTATTTTATTTTTTTTTTTTTGGTCAGTCATGGGGCCTGAACTCTGGGCCTGGGTGCTGTTCCTCAGCTCTTCAGCTCAAGGCAAGTGCCCTACCACTTGAGCCACAGTGCCACTTCTGGCTTTTTCCTGCTTATATGGTGCTGAGGAATCGAACCCAGAGCCTCATGCATGCTAGGCAAGCACTCTACCAGAGTCACCTTCCCAGCCCCATTTCTTGGCTTCTTAACCAAACCATTTTTTCCTCTCCCTACTCCTACCCAAAGTCAGAAAAGGAAGTGAGCACCAGATTCTGGCCTGTGGCACCTTTGTACCCATACTCCACCCTTTCGCTGAGGGAAGAGGCCATGAGCTTCCCTTTGAGTGGGAGTTTACTGAGTGTCACAAAGGTGATTTTCCAGGGGCTGGGAAGGTGGCTCAGTGGTAGAGCGCTTGCCTTGCATGCATGAGGCCCTGGGTTCAATTCCTCAGCACCACATAAGCGGGGAAAAAAAGGGTGATTTTCCTGCCTCCTCTGTAAAAACTAGCTAGGAAGCTATCCCTCATCTGCCTGCAGCCAACCTTGAAAGCTGTCAACAGCATGGTTTCTCATGTGTACCTATACCCGCCCAGCAAGCTGGAAAAGCACAAGAGCTCCAAACCACTCTTACCTGGGCTTCAGTGTCACCATTCCCAAAGCTTGAGTATTTCTTAAATCTTTATTCTGTGTCCTTATCCACTTTCTTCCCATCCCTGGAACCTATGCCTCAATTGAAAGGTCTTTATGAGCCCTCTGTGGGTGTTCCACTTGTAAAGATGCGAAGGAGTCTCTGAGCTCCCCTCGCCTACGACAGCCAGTAACACCTGGCCTTTCATATAATAAAGTGACTTCAAAACACAGGCAAAAACCTCAAACAGCTTACCAAAAATGTAACGTGCAGATGTAAGATGTGATGAGCAACTTTCATAAAGCCTCTAAAGACAGTTTATAACACTGAGTTTTTACTTTATACAAACACAGTAGTATAGCTACACATTTACATCTAAAAACAGTGCTCGATGGAGTGAAAACAAGGACTGACTGGACACTAGAGGAACCTTGCTTATTAGCTATTAACTATTTTATGAGATCATAGTTGTCTAAAACATTAAAGGTAACAGACTAACGCTAATAAGCAGCAGCATTAAGGATAAATAAATACAAAAATTTAAATAGGAGCTTGTAAATTTTACTGCACAAAGCAGACAAAGCACAGCACCCCCAAACCTGCAGGACCGTGACTGCATTATTCTCTGAGGAGGTTTACCTAACACAGGAACATTCTGGATAAAGCATGAAGCTATCGCTGTCCATCCTAAGAGCCATGGTCCCCATGTATTTCTTCTACTTTCAGCTGCTCTGCGTCAGTGAAGGTACTGGAGGAAGCATCACAGGGACTGTCCACAGCATCTTTGATGGAGCTACTCAGATCCTCCACTTGCTCCTCAAAGGGTTCAACCTCTTCAACCACGTGTGCCTTGGGAGTGTCCATTAACGTGTCTAAGAAAAGAGAAATCAACATGATTAGTCATAAGCACCTGATCTACACTCAGAATACAAATCCAGTTTAAATTTCATCAGTGGGTTCATTATGATTACAATTCTAAATAAACTCATCTTTTTACACATATAAAGCCAACTTAAAAGCCAGGCATCGGTGGCTCACGCCTGTAATCCTAGCTACTCAGGAGGCTGAGATCTGAGAATTGCAGCCCGGGCAGGAAAGTCCATAGACTATCTTCAATAAACCCACTGGAAAACCGGAAGTGGCACTGTGGCTCAACCAGTAGAGCACTTGCCTTGAGCTGAAGAGTGCAGGGACAGCACCAAAGCCCAGAGTTCAGGCCCCATGACCCATCAAAAAAAAAAAAAAAACAACCACCAAAAAAGCCAACTTAAAATGCAAAGGATCCTGTGTTGGGGGTAGCTCAGTAGTAGAATGTTTAGTTAACATGTATGAAGCTCTGGGTTCAATTCCCACACCAAAAAAAAACAGAGTGTCTTTCTTGGGGAGGGGAACCAGCACAGAAATTTGAATTCAGGTCCCTACACTAGCTAGACACTACATTACTTCAGACCAATTGAGCCACACTCAGCAAGCATTGGGCCTTGAATGATACTAAACTCTGTCTCTTGAATCACAGCCAAATAAAACTTCTCATTGAAAATCAAAACTACTAGAAAGAAGTTCCAAAAAATGCTCGTAAGCTGGGTGCTGGTGCCTCATGCCTGTCCAAGTGATGTAATGAAAATTTAAGATATATTTAAGGTGGGGCTGGGAAGGTGGCTCAGTGGTAGAGTGCTTGCCTTGCATATGTGAGGCCCTGGGTTCGATTCCTCAGCACCACATAGCAGAAAAAGCCGGAAGTGGCGCTGTGGCTCAAGTGGTAGAGCGCTAGCCTTGAGCTGAAGAGCTGAGGGACAGCGCCCAGGCCCAGAGTTCAGGCCCCACAACCGGACAAAAAAAAAAAAAAAAAAATTAAGGTTATAAGTTTTAGCAAGGATTTATTTTGGTATACCAGAATAAAACAGAAACAGAAGTGAAGAGTTGGAGGCAGGGCTCCATGTCACATGTCAGCCTAGGAATGAAAGTGTTAAGACATCTAGTTCAAGGCTCAGTCTTGAACAAACCAACAACGAAAAAGAATTAGAAAAAATAAAAGGGGGATGGGGACATTTCCTGCTCCCCTCACAGGAAATGGGAGTAAAGATTCCAAGGTACTTATTTTTATTTGGGCAAATTTCAGGTTATAAATAAAAGATGAGCTGCTAAGTCTATCTCCATGTTATTTTTCACATGGTACTAATAAAATATCCATTTGTAAAGATAAATATTAAATTTATTTTGAGCTGGAAGCAGATTAACACACATATCCTGGCTACTCAGGAGGATGATACCTGAGAAGCACAGTTCAAAGTCAGCCTAGGCAGACAAATCTCAGACTCCCATCTCCAATTAAGCCCAAGTGGATCCCTGACTCAAGTAGTAGAGTACCAGCCTTGAGTAAAAAGGTTTTGGGATATTTCTTACGCCCTGAGTTCAAGCCCCATTACCAGCGCCTGTACATACACACACACATACACACAAACGCATTTTCATTTTAACTGAAAAAGTCATGATAATGTCATAACATTCATTTGAGAATTTTGTTATAGTGTATGGAACTTTTTATTTGATTTGATTTTTTGCCAGTTCTAGGGCTTGAACTCAGGGCCTGTCCCTGAGCTTCTTTTGCTCAAGGCTAGTACCCTAGCACTTGAGCCACAGAACGCCTTCCGGTCTCTTCTGTTATGTGGTACTGAGTGCTAGGAAGCACTCTACCTCTAGGCTATATTCTCAACCCTGGAACTTGTTTTAAAATATTTACTTCCCACAATTCTTTTTTATTTTTTCTATTTCAAAAGAAACAAGTGAATTACAGGGGCTGGGAAAGTGGCTCAGTGGTAGACTGCTTGACTAGCATGCATGAAGCCCTGGGTTCCATTCCTAAGTACCACATAAACAGAAAAGGCTGGAAGTGGTTCTGTGGCTCAAGTGGTAGAGTGCTAGCCTTGAGCAAAAGAAGCTCAGGACAGTGCCCAGGCCCTGAATTCAGGCCCCAAGATTGGCAAAAAAAAAAAA